CTCTCTCTCTCTCTCTCTCTCTCTCTCTCTCTCTCTCTTTCTCCCCCTCTCTTCCCTCCCTCTCTGTCCCTGTCTCTCTCTTCCTTTCCTCCCTCCCTCCCTCCCTCTCTCCAGACTGGCCTTGTCCTCATGACAATCTTCCAGCTTCAGCTTTCCAAGTGCTGAGATTTAAGATATCTCTTTTAGTGATCACTGTGCATAACATGCAGATTTTAAAGGTACCAAGAGGTCACTTTGGGGCGACTTTCTCTGAGAAGCTGCCTGGAATTGTAGGTGGGTGTTTACTGAACTTCCAGGGAGATTCTGTTCTTAAAATTAAGACACACAGGCTAATCCACCATGGTGCTTTTTTCTTCCAGATAGGACGTGAGCCTATGGCCATGGTGAGGAACAACACAGCGGTGATAAACTTTATCCTTCTGGGGTTTTCCGAACATCCTCAGATGAAGACTTCCCTTTTCGTGCTCTTCCTGGTGACCTACCTCCTAACTTTCACCTGGAACCTGGGCCTCATCGTCCTCATCAGGATCGACTCGCACCTCCACACTCCCATGTACTTCTTCCTCAGTAACTTGTCCTTCCTGGACATCTGCTACGTGTCCTCCACGGCCCCCAAGATGCTCTCTGACATCATCACCCAGCAGAGAGCCATTTCCTTTCTCGGCTGTGCCACACAGTATTTCTTCTTCTGCAGCATGGGGCTGACGGAGTGCTTCCTCCTGGCAGCCATGGCCTACGACAGGTATGCCGCCATCTGCCACCCGCTGCTCTACACGGCCCTGGTGTCCCACACGCTTTGTTTAAGGATGGTGACTGGTGCCTACATGGGCGGATTCCTCAGTTCTCTGATTGAAACATACTCCGTCTACCACCATGACTTCTGTGGGCCCAATGCCATCAACCACTTCTTCTGTGACCTTCCTCCAGTCTTGGCCCTGTCCTGCTCGGACACTTTCAGCAGCCAGGTGGTGACCTTCATTGTGGGGGTGGTCATTGGGGTGGTCTCTGTCCTTGTGGTCCTTACCTCCTACGGGTACATCACTGCTGCTGTCCTGAGGATCAGCTCAGCTCGCGGTAGGACCAAAGCCTTCAGCACCTGTGCCTCGCACCTGACTGCTGTGACCATCTTCTATGGCTCGGGGCTCTTCATGTACATGCGACCCCACTCTCGCTACTCCCCGAGCCGCGACAAAGTGGTGTCTGTGTTCTATGCTGTGTTCATCCCCATGGTGAATCCGCTCATCTATAGTCTTAGGAATAAGGAGATTAAACATGCCGCGAGGAAAGCTGTGGAGAGGGCCTGGCTGCTTTCTCCCAGGGGCCCCTTCTTCTGACCCTGGAGTCACAAGTGGGGTCAGTGGTGCTGAGATGTCTGTGGTATTGAACCGGCCGAACCACAAGATGATTTGTGTGCACTGAGCTTTCCATCTCGTTTTGGTCTCTACTCTCCAGTTTACCTCCTGGTTATTTGAAAAGACTTTGGCCCTTACTGGTTTCTAGACCAAATGGTATGAGATTCAAAGTGTATCACTTACCAGAAACCTTCTCTAGGGCAGCCACAAAAACTCCCGGAACATCAAGAGAGAGTTTGTGCCCGCAGTAAGAAGTCACTGGAGCGATGCTAGCCCTGCGTTAATGTGGGGAGGCTGCCCGTGCTTAAGGGGGTTAACTTGAACCTTTTCTCTGTGACAGTCTCAGATGCTTTCTTCAGAGTCCATGAAGACTGGCGGGAAGGTGCCCTGGTGTCTGAGATCATGCTGCAGTGAGCCACCCTGACTGACGGGGCCCTGCAGATGGTTAAGGAAAGAGGGCCGATTCGAGCTCTGAACAAGTGGGGCCACCTCCTGGTTACTTCAACCAGATCTGCAGAAAGCAATCCTCATACTATATGTGGATATAGCAGTAAGTTCTTTGTTTTAGCCCAAAGCAGCCCCTTTCAAGCCGGCTTCAGAGTTCCTCAGGCACCCAAAGAAGAGCGCACGCTCATTCTGGATGAAAGCGTCTGCTTTTACCAGGTTTCTGATGAGTTCTGGAGGAGGACTCCGAGCCCGGTACGTGGCCCTGGGCTGGCCATAGAGGACTGCAGTGAAGGCGCCTGGGCCGCCCTGGGCCGCCCTGGATGAGCGAGTGCAGAGTACCCACCTGCATGTCCCCAGAGAGGTCCGCTGGACTCTGTGGTCAGTTCTTCAGGAAAATAAGAATATTCGCGGTAATTATGTCTTAGCTTTAATGAAGAATTAAATGGTTCAGTACACAGAGCCACTTAGAAGCTGTCTTGTGTAAAGTGGAAGAGGAGCTATTGTTTTTTGTTGTTTAGAGAGAATAAAAAATAGTAAAAAAACACATTAGAAATGATACAGATTTAACTAAAAGTAATAGGAATTTGACAATGGTGGTTATATTGCTTAATGTTATCTTCAAATTAGCTGTTTAGATTGCCAGACATAAACATGCAAATCAATCAAAAAAGTTTTAGGAAAACTTTTTTGTTGCTTCTTTCAAAACAAGTTTTGCATTTCTATCTCTGGTAATCAAAACAACTAATTTGAAGATAACATCATGCAATGCAGCAACCATTGTTGGATTCCTATTACTTTGTTTAGTGAAATTTTGTATCATTTATAATGCTGTGTTTTGAATTACCATTTTGTATTGTTCAAAAAAAAAGATAAAAATACAATTAAAAAAGTTATAAGAAATTTAAGTGAGAGAAAAAAATTAAGCATTAATTGTTCCTTTCAATAGACCAGCAGATCATTTTTTAAAAACTATTCCTCAGGTCATGGGCATTTGGGTTGTTCCCAAGATTTAGCTATGACAGATTGTGCTGCTATAAACATAGGTGTACAGTCATGTTATAGTATGTATCATGTCATCATAAGTATCATGTTATAAGAAATTAAGAAGGAGAAAAATATTTATGCCTTAACTGCTCCTTTCAATAGACCAGTGGAAATCAGCAGTACGGTTGTCCAGGCTGTCCTGTACATGTACATAAATACATCGTTTTCAAAGGGAAGGAACAACAGGGATGAAGAAAAGGATGAAAGAAAGAACGAAGGGAAAAGAAGTGCCGTTATTGTTGCATAATAACATCAGTATCCCAGGTGAAGAACTAGAAGCATTTTATTAGTTTGGTAGAGAACGTGAGCTTCGCAGCAGGCTTTGCCGCCCTGGGAACAGTGCTTCGGGCGCGAGCAGCGGAGCGGCTGAGGGTCCCGGTTCTTAGGACAGCCGACTTGCGATTCTTAATCTCACCTCTGCAGTCTTCTAGGTATGGGGCCTTATGAAAACCTCTTGCAGGTTACATCCTCTTCACCTGTAAAATGAGAATCTTAACAGCTTCTACGTCATGGTACTGCTACAACAATGAAGTGAGAATAGGCCTGGAGCGTGCTGCCGTAGCCCAGTGCCTGGAGTACGGTCACGCTCAAGACGTGCGGGCGTGGGTTACTGGTCAGTTAGTAAGGGCTGTTCCTCAATCCTGTGTAAGTCGAGAAAATACCATGTAGTGTGTCAGAAGAAGCAAAAACGCTGGCACGTCCTCTCCACTTGGCCAGGCCAATCTGGTGGAAGTGCACACCTACAACTCATCCCTGCTATGAATCCGGCCCCTCACAAGTGGTCCTTGGAGAAGTAGACTGATCTCAGGTTCCTCGCTGTGGCTCCACAGGCAGGTGTCACCACCGTGCAAGCTAAACCGGCTGCCCAGACACCTCTTCCCTTCCTATGCCCACTCTCCTACTCTTCTCCTTGTCTTGCTCCAGCTCACTGAGTTCCCACCCTTTGATGTACCAGTTTTCAGAATGGTAGCTAATCTTAAATTCTCCTCATGCCAAAAGTCATTGAAATAACACAGCAACAATATAATCAACCATCAATTAAAAATGCCTCATGCTTTGGATTGATGTGGAGCTGTCACTGATTATTATCTCAGCTTTTTCAATGAACAAAGAGTCTGCATTTGAAATCTTTATGAAAACATTTGTTTGGTCCCACACATATTTATCAATAATGGCAACGTTCTCTTTACATTGAGAATACAAAAGTACTTCTGCAGTTGGCCCAGCTACAAAGGATGAAGTAAGGCTCATCGACGCTTACCAATTCTGCATAAGCTATAGATTGGCTGCAAAAGCAAAATAAGGCAAAAAGAATGGATCTACAGTAAGAACGTTAAAACAAGACCTTCCAAACAAGTGCATGTATTATGAGGCATATAAAGGGAAGCACATTGAACAGAATGTGTTAGGCACTGAAGGAATCTGACCTTTTACAGCTATTTAAAATAGGACAAGGCACAACTGTCTCCAGGGAGGGCTGGAGTGGACAAAGCAATTTCGAAAGTGGCCGCCATCCAGGGTGTGGCATTCATTTCTGAAGCCTCCACAGATGCCAGATGGCTGGGAGTGGTCCAAGATCAGAATAGCCTGCTGCAGAGATGGCTGGCAGGGGCCCAAGTTCAGAATAGCCTGCCGCAGAAGCCAGACGCCATTTCCAGCTCTCCGAAGAACGAAGCTGCCAAGATTGTGCTTGCGCCAGAGACAGATTGCCCATCTGCCGAGGAAACCACACGGCAGGACGAGTTGCGGCGCACGCGTCTATTCGTGGAGAGAGGCATCCGAGCGGAGTGGGCGCTGCCCCTCGCCCACAGGGCCCAGGGCTGCGGGGTTGGGGCCCACCCTGCTTTTCCTGGGGGCCAATTTTCCTCTCCAGGCTTTCCTTTTGCTCCTTCCCATCTGACTTTCCTCCTTCCTAATCAATAAAGTACTTATACATAGATGAGCTGACAGTTTTTCCTTCTTTGGGTTGAAGAATATTTTCCTTCTCAATACCTCTCCCGTGCATTTTATTTAGTTGATGGCTGCTTTCATGGTTTGACGTTAGGGTTTTGCAGACCCCTGATTTTTGGCCCTGTGTAGGAGCAACAGTCTTCCAATTTGTATGTTACTAGAAACAATCTTGGGGGAAAAAAGCCACTTGTGAAGTAGTTTCTAATACATTAAGCCGGTTCTTATGAGACTTCTGGCCTTCTCCCTAAAGGTTAATAGTCTTGTCTTCCAACCCATTTTGGTTATACTGGGGATTGAACCCAGAGTCCCGAGCATTCTAAGCACCATGCTCTACCATGGAGCCCCACCCTCAGCCCCTTTCTCTTTTCAGATTTTTATCCCTACATTCTCCCCACTTTTAAAACTAGACAAAGCTAACGTGGCTTATTCTGCATCATCCACACACAGGAACTCATTGCACTTTCCTTTCCTGTGTTCAGTTAATCAGCTGGATCACCCCCGACCCAAAACTGGGCACAGAAGATGTTATGTTCTCGCACGTAAGGAGACATGCCACGTGCAGCAGCATTTCCCCATCGGATGGACTGACCATTGTCCTGAATTCTTGCTGTTCCCCTTCCCTGGCGACCAACCAACTGTACATGTGAACGGTGCCACTCTTACCACGTCCTCCTGCTTCGCACGCCCCTCACTTCCTCTGAGGGCTGGCCAGAGCCACCGTGGGCAGGGCTGCGTGAGAACCTCTCTTTAGTACAAGCAGAGAGAGCCAAGTGTGCCCCTGCAATTGTGGCTTGGAAGCCCTCCCAACCGAGTGCGGCAACCTCTCGCGTCAGAGCGTCCAAATGGTTGGTGCTATCTAGTTAAAAGAGAGGCAGATTACAGGCTTGGGGAGACCACGTTCTGGAATAAGCGGGTGGTCGGGTTTTGAAATAGACTCCTGATGTCAGGCAAAACTTCCCTAGCAGCATACGGGGGCTATTTGGCATGCACAGCGTATCATTTCGGTTCCATATGGCATGTTTCTGTCTATTCTAATGAGAACTCTTTTTATGAGAAAGGAGACTGGGTTGTTTTCATCTTAAGAAATCCCCAAGGGAAAACTTGACCTACATAAAAGAAGACATCCATAAGGCGGACCTGTATTGAATCCCGGTTCATTTTCTAACTAGTGTGAGCCAAGGAAGTAGCTGGGCGGGAACCTCGCCGCCCTTGACGTGACTTCCGCCTGCAGGCCGGTGGTAGCAGGCCCGGGTCTGGGCCGAGCTCCGCTGGTCGGTGTGCTCTGGGCCTGGCCAAGAAGAGGCAGAGTCCCGCGTTCTGCGGCGGCCTCGTCGCTCCCTGTTGCCTGCATCCTGTGGCAGACGCTACTGGTCACTGACTGAGCGGCCTGTGTTACCCACACAAATGCTACTTTTTTCAGTATGTGTTTTTACCAGAAAGCAAAGCAGGTATTCATTTCTTGTCCATATTTAATACTTTTGGTGTTGATGGCTTTCAGTTCTTGGAAGATTCTGGAATCTTTTTTCATCACACCTACTGTT